CCCCCAACCCCCCCCCCACACACACACACACACTCTGAAGGGTAATTGGTCAAGAGCTTTGAAAACCGAAAGTAAGCAGAGGATGCCACCCAAACATCACTTACGCGTGTACGTCAGGAGGCAGACACATAGAGGAGGTTTGCTAGAAAAAATGGTTTCTCATAGGAAACGATTGGAAACAAATATCCATCAAATAATAACTGTTAAGTAGAACACAGAAGAGTCCTACTATGTTTAAAAAGAGTGGGCTGTGTCCGTATGTAACAACAGAGATGGATCCCTAAGATGTATTATTGAGTGAGAACAGGGTCAGAGGGGTCCATTCGGTATAATCCTGACTGTGTGACCCTCCCCTTTACACACACACATAAAATGAAATACGATGGAAACACATATAAAGCCAGGAAAAGAGTCTGGAAGGATATAAACCAAACTGAGTCATTGCCTCTGGGAAAGGGGGAGGCAAAAGGTTTAAGGGTGATGCTGTGACCGGTAACAGCTTCATTTCGAAATATGACAATGGATTCGTCTATTCCTTGTGTCCCAAACCAGCTTCGTTCCCCAGGGACACTGCGCCTTGCACAAGGAGGACATTTCAGCCACCCATTTGCCTCCTCGAACTAACTCAAAGAATTCTGCAATTTGTCAGCGGAGAAATAAGCAGCAATCCTGAGGCGTGAACCCAGAAATTCTGCAAACGCTCCAGTTGGATGAGCTCCAGCTCGACGTTGGGACCCCTTGAGCCAGCAGTGACTTATCAAGAAATTCCTTAAGAGCAGAGGAGCTGTCCAGTTGGGCAGGCGAGGCCTCCTGGCAACGACGAGGGCAGATCTGCACTCAAAAGGGAAGCACTGGGAAGTGATGACTTGGTTTCAGGAAACCATGTCACCTACTCTAACCTATAAAACATGAAAACCATTTTGAAGCATTTTAAAGGAATGAGTTTGAACAAGTTCAGGCAAAGGGCTACTGAGAAAGCTCAGCCTCGGTTCAGCCATTTCCCTCCCCCTTGCTGGCTAACGGAGAACCAAGTCTCACAGACGGGACGGGCAAGCAGGCCTTCCAGCCGACGCAGGGTGCCTTCTCACGCGCTATGGATGGGATCCTCCAGCACATTCTCTTGTGTTCTTCGCTTGTCAAAGGCCGGCTTTATCGGGGGGAGTGACTGAGGAGAAGGCAAATGACATTCTCATAGCCCTGAGCCAGTAGGGGAAGCCACCCCATCCCAACCCCCATTCTCCGGGGCAGAAGGAAGCTCCAGATTTGGAACCTGGCCTCTTGAACTTGGGGTTTCCAGCCGTCTGAAGGCATAGCATAGTTAGACCATGCAGGGGGTGCTCAACAGGACTTCAGGTGGCACTCAGCTGGGCACCAGACAAGGCTGAAGCTCATGGTGGGAAAATCATTTCGAACCTGTACAGTGCTCTTCCAATCCCCTCTGGCCCAGGAGAGCACCTCAGCTCTGTGCCAGTCTGCCTTTAACATCTCTACCCGTTTACTAACCTCCCTTCGAACCAAGAGAAAGCCGGTTTCAGGCTTCCATCGTTCGGCAGCCAACAGTGTCCAGCTAGAGTTGTGGTTTCCACTGACACTTTCCAATTTTTAATTTTTGTAAGTTTAAAAATGACTCTGCCAGATAAGAGAAAAACTAACCAAACCCTAATAAAACATGGAGCATAGTTAATGATAATGTATCAGTGTTGGTGCATTCATCGTAACAACAGCACCATAACAATGCAAGGTGTCAACAGTAAGGGAAACTGAGAAACTGGGTACAGGGTAGATAAGAAATCTCTGGACCCACTTTGTGACTTTTTTAAAATCTAAAACTATTCTAAAATTGAAAATTTAAACATTTTAATGGACCTAGAAAAAAAATTCCATGTTGTTTTTTTAAAATGTATATATGGAGAGAAAGAGAGAGAGAAAGCCAATGTGGCAAAAATATTAACAATGGGTGAATCTAGGGGTATTCTTGGCACTATTATCTCAACTTCCCTGCAGGTTAGAAATCTGTCAAATCAAAAAATTAGCAGAGAAAGTAAATCAATTTAAAGAGAAATATTGAGTACGTAAGAGCCCACATGGCAAATGAATTTGGCCAGAGTTGTCGAGGTGGTGGCTGAGTTGTCGGCATTTGGAGGACACCAGGCTAGGAAGTGGCCTGGCAATGAGGTGGATCTGGGATGACCTCTGTAGTCCCTGAGCGGCCACACTCACTCCCCGTGGCCCCAGAACCTTCTCTGCAGCCCCCGCAGGTGCACACTTCCAAAGCGCACAGCGTTTCTAACACTTTCAAACGATTTCCCACCCCTACCACGTTCCCCTCAGGATGTAAGCAGGGCAGGTGTCATCGTCCCACGCGCCAGGCTGGGTGTTTCGGGGGTGGGGATGAACACAGAGGAAATGTCCTAGTGTGAGACAGACGTGTACATGGAGACCTGCACTGCCCAGTGCCAACCTCAGCCCAGGTAGTAAGTGCCCTTGGTGCAGAGAGGGAGGGGCTTCTGCCTTTGAGAATGAAGGGCCTGCCCCAGGGAGGATGAATAAACAGAAAGTTTACGGTGACCTTTCTGGAACACCTCTGTTCTCAGGCCCTCTGGGTAAGGCCACTTCCGAAGCCTCTGCCGCCCTGCGGAGCCTCACTGTCTAGTCCTGCCTAAGTCCCCCTCACGTCTCCTGCTTGGGAAGGGAGGGGTGGGCTGAGCTTAACAGGAGGAACAGTCTCCCAAATCCATCCCACTTGGTACAATCCCTCTTTCTCCTGCAGAAGTGGCATCGGAAGTCTCCTCTTTCACCCACCCTGTCAACCCTCAGCACTGACAAGAACATTAGATTGCTGGATTCTTCCTGCAAATAAGCACCTGGATCCATCCTTCTGGGCTTCTCCTGCACTCTCACCCCAGCCCACAGCCCCCCTGCTGGCCCCTTGGCTCCGCAGGGACCAAGGACCCATTCATCAGGCAGATGCACGCGCTGAGCTGGGGAAGCGGCCGGAATGGCAGGCTCCCGCTCTGGCCTCCGCCGGGGCCATAAGCCTTGATTCAGTAGAGAGTGAACCTGCCCTGAAACCTGGGAGCCTTATCAGTTGGAGGGATTAGCGAAGGCCCCGTCCTGACCTGAAAGAAAATCCCAGACAGCGTCCACATTCCCTTAGGGACCCTCCAAAGTCAAATATTTTCAGAACCAGCCCCAGTTAAGTAAATAGTTCTCTGCACGTGAGTGCCGACGGGGTTTCTCGGAGGACCTGACATTCTCCACTTGGTGACAGTCATTTCCTTACAAACATAACATTGAAAGCGATCTTTGCATTCCCCGAATGACTTCCCCCCGCTGAGGAATTCTGAGATCCTCCTTCAGTCCAGGGCTGTTGCTTAATTTTGTGCTTTGATGACAATACTCCCCCCAAAATGCATCCTGTACAATATGATAAGAGCCCTTTGCGCCCCCCACCCTCACCCCACCCTATGCCTGTCTTTCTATGGCCACAAATTTCTAGGAAACTCTTCAAAAACTGTGCTGCCTAAATTGAACCCTGATGCTGGGAGCGCTAATGGGTGCCCCCTTCAAAGCAATTCTCTACAACTCAACAGATTACACGGTGCTGGAGACAATGGACTTAAGCGCACAATTTATTTGGCTTGGCTGGTCTCATGCTGGTTGGAATCTGCTTTGGTGGGGAAAACAAACCCTGCATATGTTTAGATTTATAATTTATACCAAAAGCACAAAT